CTGGTGGGGGCCTGGGCCCTGTGGCTCAGTAGCTGTGTCATTTTGGGCAAGTCACTCAACTTCTCGGAGCTGCAGTTTCCTCGTGTGTCAATTGGGGATCATTCCGAGTATACCTGGGGCTGGCTCGGAAAAAGGCTCGGAAGAGTCTGAGCTCTGACACGGCGTGACATGTTTGTGCAGTGTGATTTGATCACAGGAAGGAGAATGACTTCATCTAACTTTCTAGAAGCATTCGCCTGCCTCGGATGTGTCAGCCGCTGTGGACACAGGCGTAAGTTGAATGCAGACACCAGGAGCTCATTCTGTGTGTCCCACTGAGGCCTCCGGGGCAGACAAGCTGAAGGAAAGGCTGCTTCACTGAACGTGAAGATGCCCACCAGACCGGTGTGGGTGAGCTCCTGCTCCCGAGCCCCGCGGGCTCCCAGCAGCCGCAGCATCGCCCCTGCGGCCACCTCCAGCCTAAATCCCGCCCCCCGCCCCTTTCTCCGGCTGGAGTAAAGCTCCGCGAGCCATGTTTTCCACATCATGAGGTTCAGGCCCTGACAGCAGAGGGTGAGCAGGCTCGTCACAATGCAGAACTCTGGCCCTGTGCCCAGCGACCCATGCCAAGCACCAGCAGACAACTGGCCCATGCGCAAAGATGTTTTTGGGGACGGTGTCTGCTAAGGCCAAGGGACTTGGCTGAGCCCCAGGGTGCCATATCTCCAGTCCTCACACGACTTCCGGCTGGGCCCCTCAAGACGAGTGTTTCAGAGTCTCTAAACCCTGAAAGCTCTTGGAGGGGAGTGAAAAATCTATAGGAACATTTCTCCTCTCCAGCGCTAAGAAAATAAAAGTCTCTGAGCCCGCAAGTGGAGAGCTGTGTCAACCAGCATCGCAGATGAGACGCTGGAAGAGGGGACTGGCCGGCTGCCTTATAAGAAATGTAAGCAGGCTGGTATGGCCACGCCGCTGGCTCTGCAACCTGCATGGTCCGAGAAAGGTCCAAGTGCACGGCACAGGAGGCGTCAGGAGAGAGGGTGTGACAATTTCGATGCAGCAGGGAGACCCCTGGCTCATTCACACAAGGAGGCAGCCCCGGAGGAAGACAGACCTCGGGGCTGCTGAGAGGAAACAGCCCCTGATCGACCTCAGGCGGCCATTCTCATTCCTCAGACCAAACCGGTGTTCTCGGCCAATCCCGTAGATTGAATCAGGGCACTTAAATTTTGTTAAGAGGGCAGAACTCGTCTTAAATGTTCTAGCAACAAAAAACAACAACAACAAAACCCAAAGGGACACGGGGACACTTTTGGAGGTGATGGATATGTTTTATCCCTAGATTGAGGTGATGGTAACACAATTGCACATGTATGTCCACACATGAATTATGTAGTTTTCTTGCATACCAAATAGACCTCAAGAAAACAAGGGGGGGAAAAGCAATCTCCCTGTAGGCTTTTCATAGGGTTTCTCCAAATTTCAAGAGAATGAATTGCTGAGATAGTGAGGGAAACACTCGTTTTCCTTCAACAAAGTAAACACGAGCCAAATAAGAGTGGCTGAAGGTGACCAGGAGGTGGCAGCAGCGCAGCCGGTGAGGAAGACACATCAAGGTTTTTGAATCCCAAATAATAAAGGCTGATGATATGAGCAGGACATTTTGTCTAAGGCAAGAAAGCGTACAGAGGAGCAATTTGGGGGCAGCAGAGACACCACCTCAGTCAAGTCCGAAGGCCCAGGCTTGGGTCCCCGCTCTGAGTCACCTGCCAGGTCAAGTCACTTAACTCATTATTTCTATCTGCTAAACATCGGAATGAATGATCCAGGGGCCCTTTACGTTCCAGATTCTCTCATCTCATGGAAGCAATTTAGGCAGTAGTTCCGTACAAGGGTAGCCCTTACCCAGGAAGTCTTGTAACTGCCCTTTCTTTTATCCTACTTTTCTAAGAGGCTATAACTCAAACTTACCAGGGTTTGCGTCTGTGTGTGTCTTTGGTTGATTTTTTTTTTAGGAATATGTAGGAGATTCTGGAATCAAGTCATTATAACACTAAACAGATTACACAATGGATGTACAAAAAGCTCTTTAGAATATACATTTTAGCACTTCCTGGTGGCAGAAATGACCGCCTGGCACAGAACTGGGTTGATTCAAAGACACTCAAAGCAAGACAGCTGTGGTCGACCAGTGTGATGACATAGACAGCAGGCCTTCCTAATGCCGCCTCCCAGGTAGAACTCGATTTCCCACTGGGGCAACATTGCCCCTAAAGGGAAAATCTGGTACTTGGGTGGGGGAGAGAAAAACTATTAGTCTTTTAATGTGTGATGCACAGATATATGTGCAATCCTTAAGTAGATAATAGCTATCTGTGGTATTAAAATGTCATGGGGGTTCACAGCAGCTCTATCAACAATAGCTAAAAGATGGAAACAGCTTAAACCTCCTTCAATAGCTGAATGGACAAGCTGTGGTCTATTGGCCCAATGGAATATTATGCAGCCATGAAAAGGAATGAGGTACCGATTGATATACGCTACAACATGGCTGAACTTTGAAAACACGATGCTTAGTGATAGAAGCCAGGCACAGAAAGGACACTTTTTACATGATCCCATTTATATGAAATGTCTAAAATGGGAAAATCCATGAAAACAGAAAGTAAACTGGGGCTGAGGGAGAGAGAGAGAGGGAGTGGCTGCTTAATGGGCATGGTTTCACTCTGGGGTGTGGACGTTTTGTAACGCAAGAGTGGTGGAGGTTGCCCAACACTCTGGGGGTACAAATGCCACTGGTTTGTCGACTTTAAAATGGTTCACTTTATGTTACGTGAATTTCACCTCAATTGAAAACAAAGGTCAGGCAATCTCCGGGGCGGGTGCGGGGTGGGGTGCGGGGGGAAGGACTAGGAAAACAATTGTCCACAGTGCTGGTCCTGGGGGTGAGGGGGCCTTTACTGGAAAAAGGCTGAGAGAGGCCAGGGCGGAGCACGGTGCCGTGGGAGGAGCCCGCACTGCCTTCACCGAGGACGTCACCACGCGTGATGGGAGATTACTAGGGTCTAAAACCTTGAGAAGAGAGTGTCCTGGAGACAGGAAAATCACGAACCATTCAAAGTGACCTCTAACTTCCCCCAAATTCAGCCACCTGAAGAGAAAAGTCTCCGTGAAGAATCCTGTCATTTTATGAGAAGCAGACACGACGAAGATTCTGTGATACAGACTGTCCCGCTGGTCTCCCCGCCAACCTGCTTCTTTTACTCTGAATTTTTTTAAAAATATTTTTTAAGTTTATTTTCAGAGAGGTAGGAAGGGAGGGAGAGATAAACATTGATGCGTGAGAGAAACATCAGTTGGTTGCCTCTCATGTGCCCCCTACTGGGGACGTGGCCTGCAACCCAGGCATGTGTCCTGGCTGGGAATCAAACCGGCGACCCCTTGGCTCACAGGCTGACGCGCCGTCCAGTGAGCCACGCCAGCCAGGCTTGGGTGATCTCTTTTCCTAAGTTGATTACACAACTTGCTTTAGCTCTTTCTACTCCCCAGGGAAGTGGACATCATTACGTTCAGGGTTTTTTTGCACAGCCAAACAGGAAGTGGAACTTCCTATGGAAACTTGAAACTTTAAAACAACAAAATGCCCCGGAGAGGAGAAACGCTGTGACAAAAACCTAGACTCCACGGGGTCAGCTGAGCGCCAGCTGGCAGGGTGGCGCCCGCGGCAGGCCGGGAGGCCAGAGCGCTGTGTTTGTGGGCTGTACCTGACAAAACTGTCACAACCTGCAAGGTGGAACCCCTGGTCTTGGGAAGTAGTTGAAAAGAAACAGAATGTGGTGTGCGGGTTGCTCTTTGCTGCTGATGGCCAGGTAGGACCCAAGAGAAGCTCAGGCAAAAATGAACTCAAATGAAGAGAAGTCAGAAACTCCGCCCGGCTCTTGATGTTGAAGAAGAAAACACGTGGGTGCCCCCGTTGTGAGGGGTGGTGGTGGGAATCAGTCAGCTCTGCCTCCTGTCGGGTTAAGGTGGCCACGCTGAAGGCAGGGCGGGGAGAGGCATGGGACAGAGAAGGAAATCCAGCAGCCTGGAAAGTTCTGGAAAAGAACCTAGGGTCTGGTTGACTATGGACAGAGGGGTTGGCGGCCTGCTAAGTTTCCAAGGGCATCATTGCCAGGGGATCTCAAGCATGTTGTACGAAGTCCCAGACTGGCCCCCCAGCTGCACCTGGAGGTGGCTGTGAAAGGTACGCAGCTACCAGGGAGGGGGCGCCCCGACACCCACCTGTGAGGTCAGCGGGGACGACGTGTCCTAGAGGGCAGGATCGGGCGTGGGTACCATGGAGGAGGGGCCGTGTCCCAGCGAGCACTCTCCACTGCCCGCTCCGCTCCCACGGCTCAGGACTTCACGACCCCCACCCGGCAGGACCTCGTCGCTGCAGGAGCCTGGTGTTTGGGGGGTGTGGGTACAGACGCAGTGGAGGCAGACAAGGCAGAGCCGCAAACTTCACTTCCTCCCGGGCACACAGGCCACTGCCCAAACTCCTCTCCCTCCCTCGCACGCCATCTGTCGCAGAGACAGGGATTTAAGACAGCGCAGCCCGTGGGGAGCTCCCCCTACTGCCTGGGCACCACGCTGTGGCAGAAGCCAGGGCCAGCCCAAGTTGCACAGGCTTCCCACCCCCGCGCCCCACCAAGGCCCCGGAAGCAGGGCACGTCAGGCCCCGGGAAGAGCGCGCCTGTGCAGCAGGCAGGGGCGGCAGCTGCCCCCCCCCCCCCCGCCCAGTGCCCTTTCCCTCCCAGCCTCCCCCCGGAACATGCGTGGAAGTGCTAAGAGCTGCTCCAGCCTCAGCTCACAGAACCCCCTCAGACGTCACCCTCCAGAGGCCTGGTCCCCTCCCCGCTGGACAGACGGCCCCAGGGTGCTCCTGACCACCCCCACCCCCCGCCAGGGTCTCTAAGTGACTGCCCCAGGGCTGCCGCGCCCACCCACTCCCGTGCCCCGGGGTTACTTCGGCAAGAAAGTTCTTTTGTGTTTGAGCCATTGTATTTTTGGGGGGTCTATTTATTACAGAACTAGCATTACCCTAATACAATCATTGCTAAATGGCCATTATACATTTATGCTATAATTGCACATTTTAATCACCAAAGGAATGTCCTTTTCTCGATTCTAAATTTTCAGAAGTGAAAGGTTAGAAGTTAAAGTTGCTGCAAGGCAAAGGATAAAAACATTGCGAGGTAGTCGGTAGTGTGGCTGTCAAATGCTAGGTTTCCCGCCAATAAACGAGCAGCGTGCGGTTCCCCGCCTGCACGGTGGAAGGAATGCCAGGCGGGCCTGCCCCCGCCGGGGCCGGCCGATCGGCCGGCGGGCCGCATCCCACCTTCGGCCTGCTTCTGCACAGCCCTCGGGCTCAGGTTTTGTGTTTTTAAAAACAAAGAAGAATATGTGACAGACTGTATGCAGTCCAAATAGTCACTACCCAGCCCTGCCTGTGGGGCTGCAGTGAGGGCCGTCAGCATCCTGGCCAGTGCCTGGCTTGAAGTAAGCAAGCAATAGAAAGTGATACATGCAATACAGCTATTAACGTCTCCAAAAATACACTGCCACATAGCTGAGTTCCTCATTCCCTCTAGGTGCACAGTCTCTCCTCCCCTCCCAGACACAAAAGACAAGCATCTTGATTACTATGGTCACAAGATACTTTCAAATTAAAAAGTTGCTGGTGGTTCAATTTCACATATCTGGAATAAGAAGTAAGAGGAAAAAGTGTTTCCCTTCATAGCAAAGGGACTTGACGGTGGCAGAAGAGAGCCTAGGAGAGGGATGCACGACTCACGATGGAATACATCAGGGAAGACCGAGACATTTGACATTTTAAAATTAGAACAAGACATTAGGTAGATAGGGGAAAATGTTAGACTGATTTGGCGACAGTATTTAGCGCTGGTTTTCGCAATCAAACAATTCTGCGGTGTGAATGCACTTACAGTAGAGATCTAGGATTCAGGCAGAGACACAACACGAAGCCGGCCTTTCAAAGTCCGATTAGACGGGGAGCGTTGTCCAACGAGACGCCTGGCAAACCCGGGCTGATGCTAAGGTAGGCTAGTGCTGGCATGACCGGTGGACTGGCGTCACACTGAGTCCAGGTTTCCCAAAGGAGGTCTGCACCCCTGGGCCCCAGGGACGCGGTGTGCGTGTGTGCGTGCCTGGGGAGGGACGTGCCAGCGTCTTAAGATGTCACGAAGACTGGCCGTGCCACACGCTCTTGCGAAGTCACACTGCACGACAGCGCAATACGGGCCTCGAGAAATGCCACAGCGCAGGACACTGGTGACCCTGCCGAGCCCACGGCCCCCTCCTTCCACAAGCACGCAGCGGCGCCAGGAAGGGCCGGGACCCTGCCGGACACTCTGGACAGGCTGCAGGCCGCGCAGACGTCAGGTCGACGGGGACGCCGCACCGGGGCTTCCCGCAGAGCATCGGACGTTCTCGTTCCACAAACGCACACTTGGACATAATTAAAAAGCTGAAGTCTTTGCATTATAAGCAGATACTCTCAAGATTACTAGCGAGCTTATAAAATTCAGGTTTGGCAGGAAAATCACAGTCTAAAGATACCCTGTTCACTCACCAATGTTAAGAAAATTTTCAGCAGGGCAAACTTTTGCATATTTTGATCAGAAGAGAAGAGAGAGACATTCTGCTGCTTGTCACGGTGGGGCTTTCTGTTCTGCAATGAAGTCGGGCCGTGTGCCTGGCTTCTCCGGGTAAGTTCCATTTATTAATCATTGTACCCCCAAAAAATATCTTGGCATTCATTGGAAAAGAAGTTACTAGATCCCAATATTTAATATTTTAACATTGTGAAAGTTCTACTTTTGTAACAGGGCTTTTTAAAATGGAGAAAACTTTGGAAAAATTTTAAAAAGAAACTTATGATTTATTAGAGAACAGGTTCCAAAAAACGTTCTTAGAAAAATATAAAGTGCCCAAATACCAACTGACACAGGTGACAGAGGCCTCCTGGGGCCAAAGAAGCATTCGTGAAAAAAACATTTAAAACAGTCTAGGTACATATTTACATTGGGTCAGTAAAGGTGAAACCATCTTCCTTGGCTTTGATGTTACTCTATGAGAAAAGAAAATCAAACTAGAAACCCAACAATCATATTCTCAGCATGCTCCACTGTTGCTTAGCGATGCATCTCGCGAATATTTACTCCACGCTTTCTACTTTTCACCTTTAAATGAGAGTAGTGTAAAACTGCCCAGCCTCAGGCAGGCTGGGTGCTGTGAGGGGTCACAATTTCAAAGGCAAGTCCAAATTGTCTGACTCTAGATCTGACGAGGGGCATGGACACCGGACGGCAGCGACCTCGGGCTGCGGGGAGCGGGCTGGTCAAATCTCCATCTCTCGCTAACAGCTGCGTAACTCGGCTGCCACTTGCTACCAAGTGCTCAGGTGGCGTCCCCAAACCTCTGTCATCCCCGGGTTTCAGAAAGAATCATTAGGAGGCAGCCATCGAAGAGGCCGTGAAAATGCTGCGTGCAATGACCCCCGGCAGTGAGGGGTGACTGGACCCCCGGCCCCGAAGGCCCCATTCACTAGGTCAACTGGGATCTTTTCAAACCAGCGAGGGAAGCTCCGAGGCCCTGGCCGCGGACGTTAAGCCTTGGCTGGCGGACTACAAGGTCAGCTGGCTGGAGACCTGGCCGTCGGAGCGGCTGCGTGGGCTCAGAACCTTCGGCGCTGTCACTGAGAATGCGGAAAAGCAGCCAGCGGGGTCTGAGCAGGAAGTCGGGGGCCCCGCGGGACTGGAGACCAGGCTTCGTCCTGAGGCCCTCACGGCCGGGGCGTCTCGGGAGCGCAGCCTCTCCGTGTTTCCCTGCCCACTGACCGAAGGCTCCTGCACGGGGAGGCGTCCCACGCGTTCCTGCCCTGCCGCCTTCGGGGCTGTTCTGCAGTGATTCTCCGGAATGGCGGGGCCTGATGCCTCCTCTTTTCTCTTTTTCATTTTTAAGGTTCATTATTTCTTCTTTTTTCTGGTTACAAAAGTGAAATCTCATTTTTGGGACTTTGGAGACTGAGGAGGAAAATTTCTAAAAGGAGACATTTTAACATCAGATTGTACTTCTTACTGTAAAGAGAACCCATCACTGATTTAAGATCTATTTGTGATACTGAATACTTAAAAATTTTTTAAAAAGTAGCTATTTGAAAGGGAGGATTAATATATGAACATGGAAAACCCATCACCAAGGCCAATATACATTTCCTCAAAGAATTTCATGTAATAAAATGGGAGATTAAGGAGTCACAGAGATAGAAGCATAAATCCAAGAAGAAAAACTGTTACTCTCCTAATTCGAATACAGAAAAAGATAAATGCCTGAAATCTGTTTCACATATTAGAAAAAAAATAAAAGCAAATTCTGATTACCATTAGTTTGTTAATCTCCACGATGCTGCCAAGATCACTTAGCTTCACCTCTGAATAAGCAACTAAATTCAGGGTAAAAAGACAAAGAAAAAGTCCTTACTCAGGACTGCGCATCTTCCACAGAGAACTCAGAAAAGAAACTACTGCAAACTTGTAACCCCATCTTCCCAGTAAATAAAGTGTTCTGAGACGAATGTACGACAGACAGAATGGAAATGAATTAAAAAAGTGACTAGAAGAGTGTTGGCTGTGAGACCTCGTGAAGACAGAACGTCACACACTGTCACCACAGGACAAGCATACAAGCCATGCCACTGAACGCAGCGCCTTTCAGACGGACTCACTAGTGTGGGCGCAGAGCAACACTGTCTTTGCGGCTGGAGGAGAGCACAGGCTGCCTAAACTCAGGGGCGCCCCGGCGCCCCGGCTAAGCGGCTTTCCTGCTGGGGCGAATCCGGAGGGATCCGTGGAGACTTCTCGAAAGAATCCTGTTCTCTTGGAAGATAGCAGCAGCAGCAAAGGTGCAATGTCCTCTACCGGACTTTACTCTGCATTCTCTTTCTTGGCACTGTAAATGTTCTGCACCGTTTCGTAGACGGACTCCAGGTCCTCTGGGTACCGGAGCTCTAGCTCTGCGTTCGGGATGTAGTGAGTGCCAGTGAACTCTGAGAAGTAGCGTCCGACGTCGGGGTGTGAGATTTCTTGAGGCTCCACGTTATATTCCAAGTTTTCTGTTGACAAAGAGGCACAATCTCATTAAAATGGACGTTTCGGTGGCATCTTTTATCCAGAGAGCTTCCTAGCAATAGTTTTTGAGTAGCATTTTTGAGGTGGAAAAAGAAAACACAGCATGTGGCAGAACAACCAGGAACAGGCAGCAAGCGGGAGTCAGGGGGCGGAGGGGTGGTGGCCTGGGGCCCCCTGCAGCTCCGAACCAGACAGAACTTTCCTGGTCTCCGAGCACGGTGCCTGGCTCCAGCAAAGCTGCCGCAGCCTCTCGGGGACCGGCAGACCGGAGGCCACCGTGCTCCTCTGACCTGATCTAACACGAGCGCAGGCGAGGGTGTCCCAGCGGCTCCGCTTTCGCCAGCAGTTAAGCTTATGAAGCCGCCACAGCGCCTGGTGACCAGTCTCGTATCTGCAACCCTCTCGTCTACTAACGGGAGCCCCCTACACAGACCACAATCTCCCCCCAGCTCCTTCCTTTCCACACCGGCCATGTACTTCCGCAGGCACCGTCCCCTGTCACCAGTGGGCAGCCTGGAACAACGCTTTGCTGCCAGTTTGCCAAGAGCAGCAGTTCTCAGCCGGGGGCTGTCTGGCCTCTTCTGGGACATCGGGAAACATCTTAAGACACTTCCAGTTGTCATGACCCAGAGCTGCGGCAGGCGCTGAGCAGCAAGAGGCCGGGGAGCTGCTCAACGGCTGCACAGGCCAGCCCCCCAACAATAAAGAGCCCTCTAGACCTAAGCGTGGGTCGCCCTGCTCTGGAGAAAGTCAGACGCACGTTCCGGCATCTTCTCCCCTCCCTCTTTCCTTTCTCTGTGTCTATTCAGGAGCGGCTGGGGCCGCGACTACCTAGGGGTCTGAGTGCGGGGAGCAGTGCAGGGGGTCGAGGTCAGGTCATAGTCACGGACCTGCTGGGACCACGCAGGTGGGCAGCGGTGCCCGGGACTCTAAACGTGGGCCCAGCACAGGAGGCGTGGGGAGCGCAAGCGGAGGGAGGAGAAGCCGACCGCGGGCGGCGGGCAGGTGCGGGCGGCCCGGCTCCCGCCCTCAGGAGGAACGGGCACTGAGCTGGGCGCGCCCACCTGCCCGCGCCGCGGCCAAACAGGAAAACAGTGTTAATGAGAGAACTTTCTGAAGGAGAAAACAAGGAGGGATAGTGAGGTTGGCAACTATGTATTAGGAGGGGAAGATAAATTCCACTCTACTGAACAAGGTTTTTGAAATATGTACTAGAAGAGAGATGAGAAAGCTACGTGATATAAAATGTAACTGAGCAAAATGTTAAACAGGGACTACTTACAAGTCCTGAAAAACCTTGAGAAGTCTTTTTGATTCCCTTGAAATTTTCAGAGAATGTGTCTGCTTATTTTACTTTAAATTTTCAAGCTGCCCCCAAATACATGCACACACTCCTGGAAAACTGCGGAGACACTAGCTGTGAGTCTCTGGGGACAGCCCTCTGCCCTGGTCCCTCCGCCTCTGGAGAGAAACCCCTACAAGTGTGAGCGTATCTTTCTAGTCCTTCTTCTATGAACATACAGACATGTACCTACATGTTAACTGCATGTGCTTAAAGAAAATTCGGTAGTGTTTTGTCTTTGTTTATTCATACGAAACATATACTAAGTGTTTGCCTACAACTGGTTTACTTAACAAGGGCTTAGTAATGCCACAGTGTGGATAGGTCCCAACTTCCCAATCCTTGGGAACAGCACAGTTTTGTGATAACAAGGGACCTCAGGCCCCTGGGCAAGCGTGTCTCTATAGAAGGACTGAAGGCTGGAACTTACAGGTCAGAAGGGAAAGACATTTGAGATTCTCACGATTTAAAAGGGCGCACCAATCCACCCTCTGAAATGGCTCAGCTTTTACGCTCGAGCCCCGAGGCAGGGGATCCTCACCCACGAGCCAGCCCGTGCGGGCGGCCATGGGCTGCTATGTGTGGAGGGGGGTGTGGTAGAAACTTGCGTTTGGAGCTGTTAAGACAAATTATGGAAATGGGAATGAACATTTGGTGTGCGCACACATGTACCAAGCATTCTACAAGGTGCTTTATGTATAAAACACATGTAAAAACTAGATGTTCACATCACAGTTGAAGTCCTGACCTTCCAACATGGGCAGCTGACTGCAGTTCAGAGCCCCTGCCATGCTGGTTTCCGATAGGACCAAGGTCGGGCGGGGAGCTGAGCCCGGCAGCCCGCCCCCTTCTGGGGGAAATGGTAATTAGGCCAGATGCCGTATATCCCTCCTTAGGATATGGGGGACCGCTATCTTATTGTTCGGAATATTCCCTTGATCGTGCAGGATAAAATGATTTGAAGATGTCGTGCATGCATGCGATGAATGATCTACTATTCACCTCTCTTGGAGAACTAGTAACTAGAAGAGCATTCATTGGGGGGTTCTACCCAGGTTACTAGGGTCCTGGAGCCAAAGTTTGAAAATTTGGATCAAGAAAAGTTGTAAAACAGAATAGATTTAATGCAAATAAGTGAATCCAAAAATGGAAAAAAAAAAAATAGACCAACCCATATTTAAATAAGTGTTTTAAAAAGTTAGCCTCTCAAGGTCTCCCGCTGGCTAAATATGGGCTAATTGGAACAAAAAAATCGTTCCCAATGATTGCAACACACTGACAAAATAAAAATCTAGGCATCTATGGGAGGTGAGGGGAAGGAGAGCTAGTGGTGGAGGTGCAGGAGGGATGGGCAGGGAGAAGGAAGAGGGAGAGGAGAGCACGGAGACAGCCCAGGGGGCAGGGAGGGGGAGAAAGGGGGGCGGGAAGCCCTTGTCTCCGGAAGTGGAGGGAACAGCAGCAGCAGCAGCGGGGAATCAGCGTTTTGCAGCTCTCATATAACAGCTTAGGCGAGGAGGTGCAACAGGCACTGACACAAACACAAGGATAAAGGGGGCTGGGGAAGACGAGACACACAGGGTGTCACAGGACCACTCCACGGGCTTCTTGTTAACTGCGCAGGGAAGACGGTCCCTCAGTGAGTCACCATCTTAGCCAAGTGACCAAAACCCACTTCCCTGACAGTGGGACATGGAACATCACAGGCCTCTGGACGAGAGGCAACGGGACAGACACAGAGCATCTGAGAATAAATATTTCAGCCCAAAATATTGACCTGATCTAAGCAGGCCTCATGCTTCCAGTTTACAGACAACACACAGGCAGGCAAACAGTATGACTCCTCCGGGGATCAGACAATTTACAAGATAACCAGCCTGCGCTCTTCAAAATGCTGAGGGCTTGTGACAAAGGAAAATAAGGGGGGAAAGAAGAGGAATGAGAAAATGTTTTTGTTTTTTGTTTTGCCTAAGAGAGACCTGAGGCATAACAAAGCAGTGTGTACGTAAATCCTGGTTGGATCATGATTTGAAAATAATCACAGACACACACCTAGAAAGGTTATTTTGTGACAGTTCAGAAATTTGAATGATGCCTGGATATTAGCTATTACAAAATAATTTCTACTTGTTAGCTGTGATGCTGTAACTAATGGTACCGCAGTGAAATATCCTTGTTCTTAAAACAGGTATAACTGAGTATTGAGCTGAGGATGTCTGCAATGTTCTTTCAAATGGTTTAGCAAGAAATGAAAACCTCTCCAAGTCAAACAAATATTGTAAAAACGCTAACCGTTGCGTCTCGTGGAAGGTGTATGGGGTGATCACTGTGTTCGCATGTTTGAAATGCTCTTCATTCAAAGTCGTCAAAACCAAAGACATTAGCCTCTCAGTCACACACTATGTGCACGCATCTCCTTGTCTGCGCTTCTGTCACAAACCTCTCTCCCCCTCGGGGACAGGGAATCCCGCCTCCCCGCCCTCCCCAACCGCTGGATGTGAGCATCTGCTAGGTGTGGAGTGACCCATGGTGCTGGGGACCCGTCAGAGAGTGGGGCAGACTCGGTCCTGCTCTCAGAGCTTTGGGCGGAGCAAGGGAGCGCGGCCACCGCAAGGGCAATACTGGAGGAGAAGGCGCGCGGCTCAGAATGGCAGGAGCTGGGGGAGCGCAGGGCAGGGACAGGTGGCCCAGTGTGAGGGCAGTGGGGAGGCTGGGCTGACGTTAAACCGGAAGCACAGCCCAATGCCTGGGAGGGCGCAGGGAAGCCTATCCATAAGGGACAGCCACCTGTGCGAAGACCTGCGGGAACGGCGACCGCGAGGCACAAGGTTGCGAGCCCGGCAGGAGCCTGGCGGGGGCAGGAACGAGGTGAGCCGGGAGAGGGGCTACGTCACCTCTGGGCCACACACAGGAGCCCAGCCTGGCAGCAGACACTTCTGACCAGCAGCCGAAGCTGCGAGTGGAAGGTTCTCCAGCCCTGATGAGGAGATGCGCTGTGGGGGGCCAGCCTGCAGGCGGGGGCCAGCTCAGACACTGGGGCAACTCTGGCAGGAAACGCGCACGGTACAGAGAGGAGTCGGGAGACGGGGGTGGAGAAAGCGGACGCAAGTCTGGGATGGGCACTTAGGAGGCGGAATCAGCGTGATGTGCTGTCTGGCTGGATATATGACGGGGGAGGGGCTGGAGCAGAAGAGATGGGGCCCAGGTGGCACCGTTCCAATGAGACAAGCAGGAGCAGGTTGGGGTGGGGACGAGCAGTGACACAGTGCGTTCAGTCCGGACCGTCTGAGCTGCTTGAAGAACCTGAGTGCAGGTGCTGGGGGCTCTGAGAGGTGGCCACGGGCCCAGAGAAGAGCTGGACATGGAAAGAAGGTTCTCAGAGTGGCCGGCGTAAGGTCAACAGCTAACAAGGCCACGGAGGAAGCGGAGCCCCACCAAGTGAGAGGAGCCCTGAGGCGCGCCACGAACCGGGCCAGGCCCTCCGGGGGGACCTGCGACGGGGCCCCTCCATCTCTGCAGCCGCAGCCCAGCACCCGGCTGACGGGCAACCCTGCGCACTGCCTGCCGACAGCAGAGAAAGTGGACAGTGGCCTCGGGGTACGTCTGGGAAGTCAGGAATTTTCCAAAAGCCTCAGAATTTAAAATTTGAGAAGGCAACCTATGAACATTACCCACAATCACTTAGTTCAATCTCAGTTTTAGGGAGCGTAAAACTGACAGCCAGACGTTAAGATTTTTTACAAAGTTGCTACATTATTATGACTGTAAACCTTATGTGGCTTATTTAAAATACAATCAGAAATGGATTCCTGAGAATTCCTATGGATGCATTTACCAGAAAAAATTCAGGACACCTAAACCCAATTAGCATTTCACCTACTCTGAAAAGCCCATTTTAAAGTTAAACACGGGTGTTTCTAGAAACTCAAATATCAAATACTGGAAGCCTGAAGAGCCGCCCCGTCATGGGCTGTGAGCAGACGAGGTGAAGCCACAGGCGCTGGCCCGCGTGCGGTCACGAGACGGCCCCCCGTGACTCTGGCACGCACTCTGGGACAGGCAGCGTGGCACGCTTACCACGCGGTTAGTGGCAGGAGCAGAGTCGACAGGTTACTCAGTAATTTTCAGATCATGTTAATTTTTAGAAATTGTTAGTATGATTTTTGGGTCACAGCTTGAAAAGTTAAGTAAAATCGCTGCCCGCGCCTTTGGCAGAGACGAGCACAGGCCAGCCCCTCCGGAACTTCCTCGTCACGGCGGCAGAGGCTGACACGACCTGCAGTCTCAATAAACAGATTTCTCTCGTTGCACGCGATCGTCTCTCAGTTTCTGAGGAATTAACAATTAACATGAAACTTTTTCTAGTCTTCTTGATACTGGAGCTTTTTCTACATCTACTATTTCTACAAATGCAGTCGCCAGAACGTTAACACTGAGTTAGGTCCAGCATGTTTTAGGTCAGGCACAAAAGAGTAGAGCGTGATGGTTACGGACAAGGCTTTGCCAGCTGCCTGGGCTCCAATTCATACTGTGTAAGTTACAATTTAAACGACTCTATGTCCTTCAGTTTCCTCATGTAATAAACGAGGATGATGATGGTGATGAAGAAAACTAGAGTCTTCCGGTGGAGTTAATGGGCATCTGAACCCCGCCTGCCACCGAGGTGGCGGAAGAAAGGAAAGGGAGCCTCACAGCGAGGGCGTTTCTGTCTCTAGCCGCCCTCAGGGCTGGCGGAGGCCGCACTGCCATCTCAGGAGACCTGGGCGGATGCTAGGGTGGCTCCCCCAGTAGCGTCCATTCAACACCCTCAGGTTCAAGCAGGCCACGTGGGCCCGGCACAAGCTGACCCTCCTTACCTGGAAGGGGCCAGTGGCAGTGCCTGGGAAGCAGGCACTGGGGATTTGATTGGCAAAGGCAATGGCCAATGAAAACAGAGATAATCAGCAGCACGTGTGGTGGTGATGGAGGGGGAGGCTTTGAGGCCCGCGACTCCCGAACCCGCGGCGTGGCCGCACCACGGGACGCCCCCTGTGCGGACCGGCTGAGTATCGGCCCTCGTGAGGGGAGCTACAGGAAAGCGTGGGCCCACGGTATCTGAGAGCTCAAGTGTGTGCCTGAATGTGCCCTGGTGTCACTAAACGCATCGACACGAACTAGCCACTTACCTTGGGCTGCGTATCTGCAAGAACCATCCTCCACCAGGACATTGTAGAAAGGCTGATGGTGGCCGTGAGGCAGGCTGTGGACGTTCATGTTGCGGATCCACTCGTGCCCCATCATGCAGGTGGGGTCCCAGCCGTAGATGACACAGTTGTAGCCATACCTAGTTAACGCAAGAGCAACGGCCAGTCAGTTCCCCGCGATCCTGGCGACTGTGAAACAGATACAAGATGGCCTGGCTTCTCTTAAGCTCCTGTTCTTACAAATTTACCTGCCTTTACCCCCCACGCTGATTTGTCTTCCAGGACGCCCCTGCGCTTCTTTATAGACCTGTCTTACCGTCAATCTAGCACCTGAGTTGGAAAAAAATAAACTTTCTGACAAGGAGTGATGGGATAACAAGGGGCTGTCGGAAAAAATGGGAAAGGTACCAGGACCTAGGCCTGACAAGAGCACACGAAACCGGTTCTTAGTGGGACAGAGACCTAAGGGTAATGTGCAGAGCTTCTAAACTGTCTCCGTGACTCGGGGTCGCGAATGATTTCTCAAAGTCCTTAAAACACAATCCATAAAGGGAGAGACTGGCCGGTCTGGCAGCATGAAAGGACCCCGATTCAAAGAGGCTGTCTGTCCAGCTACCTACCTGGTAAGGAACTGCCTAGTTCTTAGATCTGACAACTGGACAGGAAATGTACTTTTAACAAAAGAGAGGGCCCTTACCTTCGAGAGACACATTGTGAAATAGCTACAGGAGAAATGACATCAGGGGATGCGCTTCCAGGGAGGAGGGAGGCAAGGGCGGGCGGGGAGGGGACAGTGGAGGCGGACCCTGTCACGATGACCACTGAAGCTGACAGGGAAACATCCCCTGGTTCGTTACACTCGTCTTTGTACTCTTAGGTGCTTAAAATGTCCATAAGCAGTAAGAAACAAAAGGCAATAAAAGGAGGAAAACACAAACCAAAACCTGGAAAGAAGTATTTGGAACTTAGGGGCACAGACAGTAAGCAGACAGAAAAGGATGACTCCAGGTCGGAGCCCAATGCTTCTTAGACACTTAATAAAAGAAAATGCGAGTGGCTGTCCACCTGTGGAAAGAACCTCAACCTGTGCAGCAATCAGGGAAACGCAAATCAAGACCACAGTGAAAGAGCATTGGCCGCGTAGCGCCCGAGTGCATTTGTGGAGGCCTGGCAGCGACACAGGCCGGCAAGGAGAGGGACTCGCCGCTCCCCAGCCGCCTGGGAGCTGGGGTGTAAATGCGCGCCATCACTTTGGACCCGGTTTAATTCTGTCTAGTGACTGGACCACGAGCCTACCCTACCACCCACAACTTAAATTCAGGGAGACCGGGATGAACAGAAGAGACGAAGAACAGTGAAGACAGGAGAGGACCACTCCATTTGCGCTGTTTCCGTCTTCCTGCCAGGCAGCTAAAGGTCACAAAAGCATTAGAAGACCTCCCGGTCAGGAGCGCGAGTCCCTTCTTAAAGCACAAAAAGGTTAAAGCTCTGGTTCAGCTCGCAGGCCTTCCTGCGCGGGACTGAGCTGGTCGCTGCGGGAAGCCGGGTCCCCTTCCGGCGTGTCACGGCCGCTGCTCCCGGGCTCTCGGCGTCCTCTGCGGCCACGGGTGGGGCACTCACCTCTTGTGTTTCATAATGAGCCCAATGGAGTAGCAGACATCCCTGTGCTTCTCGTGGGAACGGAGCTTCACCTCCACGCCCACGTCCTCCTTCTTGCGCTCAATGTGCTCTAGTGTGTGCTGCACCAAGTAACCCACGGCCCCGTGCTGCCCGGGGTCTAGGGTCTGAATGTGTTGGAGGATGTCAAGCACCTTCAAGACAAGACAGAAAGACTAGGTGATAATATTTTTAGTAAGGCCTTTTCCTTTTTGCTGCATTGGGTACAGCCCTACCTAAGCTAGCCTCACAGAGGGCGGCAAGGCGGGCCCCGATGGCAGCCCAGGTCCCCGAGACCCACGGGCCTCTCCCCAGTCAGCGTGCGCACTTCTCATAGCGGGCGTCGGCCTCGGACATCCCAACTCAACGGCACGAAAGCGAGGACGCCCTCAGGAACGCGGGGGCCTGCGGTCAGCGCAGGGCAGGGAGATGGGCCGCTCGCAGGTGATTAGGTGAGCTCTCAAAGGGACTTACGTTCTTGGTCAGTGTGAGCTCCCATTTTTTTATACACAGAAAGGAAACAATTTCAACCTGCCCGCACTCATGAACTGGTTGGAAAAATAAATGCTCAGCTGCTTTGATCAGGAGGACGCTGGAGAGAACTGCCTCAGAGCCACGGAGGACTGGAAGGGGTCACAGAGAAGCCCCCGAAGGGACGCTGAGTCGTTTCTGATGTTGCACTTGAAGAACGGAGATGTGGGTACCATGGTTCTGAAAGCCCACCGGTCACTTCCGTTGTTTTAACGCGCAGTGGTGCTTCCTAGTCAAGTGGGCAGGGGAAAGCCACCTCTACGTGGGGTTTGAATGACCAGCTGGTAGAAGCAGAACTCGAGGTTACACTCTTTCTACTGTAACCCCGTGCCTCCAGGGAAAATATAATTTCTGATAAAGTTAATTCCCACACACAGGTGCAAACACAAACACACACAAAATTACAGCCTTTAGCAGAGGGTCTCTGGCGTGCTTCTCCTTTGTAAACAGGACCTTTCCCTGTTTACCGAGTCCTAAGGCACAGCAACCTAAATTCTAGGCCCAGATCTGTCAAACTTGCTGTTTTTACCTTTGAACCTGTTTATTCGCTTATCAAGTGATGATTAATAAAGGCCCTGTCTCCTGATATATTACAAACCTTGTCAAAGGGTTGTGAAAGCTAGCGCCTTATACAATGGAAGATACTATTATTCTAACACCCAACCGTGCCTTCCAGACTGAGATTTGTGGGTCTCAGTATTTCCTCACCACTTATTTTTCACGGGTCACTGTGCCAAGCCCATCACTTTTGAAGTCATTTAATCCTCACAAGTCGAAGGTATGCCACAGTCACCGCCAGCGGAGGAATCGGGCTTAGAGAAGGCGCGTCACTTGCCTGAGGTCACAGGCCATGAGGACTTGGAGTGAGGATGAGGCCTGGCCTAAGTCTACACCACCAGACCAAAGAGGAGTATTTTAATTAACTTATGAAAAATTTCAAACACATAAAAATGGGCGGAATGGTACAACGGGCAGTACCTCCAACCCCGCTTCACCCACTGTCAGCAGAGAGCCAATGCCATGCCCCTCCCCCTCCAAGGGGACTTTTAACTTGGAGACACTAACAACCTTTATCTTTTGTAGCAAACAGCATGGGATTTAACAGTAAGCTTCTATTTACTGGGCTTGCGCAACGCGTTCCTTGTGTTCCCCTCTGCAGCTCCAACCAGTTACTGCTGACCAGATTTCTGCTACATTCGGGACACAGCTTCCCCTCCTTTCCCAGCAGCCCCTCCCACCCGAGCACGGAACAGACCGAACTTGGAGTGTTCAGCACACAAAGGAATTCTCCAGCTCAGAGTACGAGAGGGGAGAGGAGGCGCCAGGACAAGCCCCTCATCCTTCCCTTGACGTGTGGGTGATGGGCTGAAGGGAGTGGGCAGAAACGGGGACGAGCTGGTGATCTGGGCCTTGCATGTTCCTAACAGCTGGGCACCGGGCTGTGTCCATGCCAGGGTCCACGCCTCGAATCCTGAGTCTACAATTTGTGGGGCGGACTGGCAAACGCTTTTTGTAAAGGGCCGGAGAGTAAACATGTCAGGCTCTGTGGGCCATTTGGTCTCTGACTCCACTACTCCCTTTGGCGGTTGTGGCTGGAAGGCAGCCAGAGACAGGCAGCGAATGGGTGTGGGTATGCGCAAAAACAAAAATTCATACAGCCCGCCACTGCGGGCCGGCAGGCCGCAGTTTGCTGGCCTCACTGTCCCTCACTGCAGGTTCCTCGGGGTTGTCTCTGCAGCTCTGGGCTCCGACCTCCAAAGCCCACTGTCTGTGGGCTCTTCTACTTTCAGCTCTTCCGGTACCGGGCCCCGGTGCTGGAGCCCCCAGGGGCTCCAGGCCGGCGGCACAGGGCTCCGGGTCCTATGGCATCCAGTACTCGCTGGCCTAAACGCCCCCCCACCCCGCAACAGGTCTGCTCTCCAAATACTCACTTTTCCTGTGGCCAAACTGTTGTTGGGAAATCTGAGGGAAAGCCTCTCTGGGCCTCCTCCCCGACTTGCAGCTAATGAAGACCAGTCATTCCTTACTCATTCAGACACAAACTTCTGAGCACGTGCCGCGCGGCAGGAACTGCGCAGGGGCAAGGGGAGCAGCTCCGGGGAGGGGCAGAGCGGCCCCAGCACTCACAGCGGCTCCACGAGGGGCAGCGGGGCCGGCGCGGTGCGGGCCTGGCCCACGCGAAGCGCCCGGGACAGGGTTTCCGAGGCAGATGTGAGCGGGCAGATGGGGCCGGGAGGCAGGACAACGTCCCAGGTCGGGGTGCGGCACGTGCCAAAGACTGACGCAGAGGACAGGGACGAATGGAGGTTGTGGTCGTGGGAGCAGAGCACACAAGGGGCCACTGTGAGAGACAAGACGCTCGGGGAGGGGGGGCCAGGCCACCGCAACCCTCGCGGGCCAGGCTGAGGGCAATGGGCCTCACCTTCACGACAGTGGGGAGCCAGCCAGAGGGCCCTGAGCAGCGAAGGGACATAGCTGACATCTTCTTAAGCTCACTCTGGCCACAGCATATGAAACGGGGTCAAGGGCCTGAGAGCAGAGGGATGAGACCACGCAGGAGGCCTGTGCCGTCACCCAGGAGGCAGGGCCGTGGACAGACGGGGAGGGAACATCGGGGTACGCTGGCCTGGAGCCTAGGGTCCAGGCAGAAGATCAAAGACCCAGCGCTGTGAGCCTGCAGATGGGGACCACGGCAGGAAGAACAGGCGATGACCGAGGGGAAAGGTGCAGAGCGAAAAAAAAAGTCTAGAAATTAACAAAGGACCAGGAACGAGCAAGAGCCTGAGAACTAAGAACCCGCGCAGAAGGAACAGAGTGTACTGAGAGGGGGCGGCCCCCAGCGATCACTAAAGATAACGAACACAAGTATCTGTTGGATTTGGCAACAAAAAGAACGATTTATCAAAAAGGGGTCACTGGTTTCCTTGGCCAACGCAGTTCCGGGGGAGGAGGGGTGGGAACAGACCTCACGTCTGGGGACTGTGTGGGAGGCGAGGCTGGACCGCAGGGCCAGCCGGCACATTTTAGCCTCGCGGGGGAGGGGAGAGATGAGGAGGGGCCGCGGGAACTGCCAGCAGGGCTGTCAGGGGAGGCCTTCTCATTCTCTCCCCAGAGAGGAGAGCGATCTGGGCGTGTTTAATGCTGACAGCACACAGCGGGCACAGGGTGGCGCAGACAGAGCCGGGTAAAGGCAGCCTCAGCACCCCTAGGGGTGCAGGGAACGGGGCCGGCGCACGGCAGCTCCGCCCTGGGAGACCGCAGGGCACCTCCTTCACCGAAACGCAGAGAAACAGCAGCAGTACGGCCGCAGACCGAAGCGGGGAGGCAGCCTGGCGGCCGGGAGCCGCTGTGCCTCTGCCCACTGTCGGGGCGGGGGGCGCAGCATGCGGGGGCCCCAGCAGGTCCTCAGCGGCTCAGTGCCTCAGTTTTATTATTTATAAAAGAGCAAAAAAAAAAAAAAAAGTAGATAATAAAAAACAGCTCGCACCCCACAGGGCAGGAAGATGTTCAGTTAAGTGTCAGTGGCTTTAAAGTTTGGCCGCCCTACACTCTCCGTTTCTGTCACAGCCACATCACCCGGGATGACTACGACAGTGACCAGGGGGACTTGTGTTTTGCTCTTCCTGGTTTAATTCCACTGAAAACAAGTTGCCCTTCTGGTCTTCCTGGTTTAGGAATGTTTCTCTTTCACCTAACAAGGTCAAGCAGATTCCAAGCCCTCCACAAACTGATCTCATGTCCCATAAAGTGTTCTCTGTACACCGACGCACGCACGCACATGCACACGTGCACGTCTCGGGACCCCGCGAGGCGGGTGTCGTCTGCACGCCGGTCCGGCCCGCCGCAGCAGCTGCTTGCCTGCCTCCTGAAACGGCTTCCCATCCTTCGGCGCCTACCTCCAACCCTTCCTCGGGCAGAGAGCGTGTCCTCATCACCATAGCAGCCCCGAGCCTTCCTCCTGGGAGCGCCACGGTCTCCCCCGCCCCATCTCGGTGTCGGCTCCCTGGCTAGGGTGCCCATTCACAAGGGGGAGCCCCCTTCCATCCCGGATCTCTGAATGGGGGAAGTGCCCACACCAGCGGCAAATGCGTGGCCATGGTGAGGACCAATGTTCTGTACATGTAACAAATAGGAACTTGTTTTGTACGGTGGCACCTGCCGGGTGGGAAGGTGAGGTCGGTCCCCGGGGAAGCTGAGGTAATCCCCCAGGAGGCAGCAGGTGAGCACTTAAGCAGACTCGCTGTGGGTCCAGCCAGAGGTCCTGCAGCCTCCCCTGCAGAGGGGAGGTGACCTAACCCCTGCCAAGGCTGGTGTGTAACTTAAGGACAGAATTTATTTATCAAGAATCTTGCTTTGCAAGGATCTCTGCATTTGACAAATTACCATGAAATTCCTCCACTGATCTAAAGTAGAAAGTGATAGGAATTATGTATATCCTAGTATCAAAAATAAATAAACCATAAAACTAAAATAAGCTATCAAACCCTGGACAACAGCATTTATGCAGGTTCTGGGAAGCAGGCGGTAACTTTGGTAGAGTCTAGATTTCCTGTAACTCTTCAACCACATCACATGCTCTTTGCTCCCTGGGACACGGATGTATCTTTTCTTAAGACAGGAGTCTAGAGATTTTCTTACTGATGTGTCCTTTCTCAGAATTACTTAGATCTCTGAAGTTGTAACTGAGACAGTTTAAATCTCAGCAATGTCAAGCCATTTAGATGACTTACTTTCTCAAGAAAGATTTTTACCACTCAGAATTCAGTCCTCTCACCAGACTGTTCTAAACAAACAAAACGGATTATTAACATATTTCCCTTGGAAAAGCGAGGCCCTGTTGCAAGCTGCAGCTGCTCCTGCTCCGGACACAAGGCGGGCCTTGAACTCCGCCACACCCACAGCCTGCAGGGGAGCACTTCCGCACCCCCGCGGCCCCGGGCCAGCTTGCTGCCGGCCGCAGGGCCGTGACAGAAGAGAAATCCGTGCGGAGCACTATCAAACCGTACAGCTTCCTAGAGGCATGACTGGTCCAGAGCCAGTCCCATAGCTGGACGTGAACAAACCGAAGATGTAGCTTTCCTGTGTCCCACAGGGGTGCGTATGCATGGTCAGTTTAGTTACTAGCAGCACAGCTGGAGGCTGAGCGTTTTGAGTTTTGCCTCCCCGTGGTGAGTCGGGGTGACCTGGGGAGAATACATCTCAGGGGCACCAGTAGTGACTGGCCGGGCAGAGGCACCGTGGTTCTGGACATTTGAGGCGCTGGCCACAGAGAGAATGGGCAAGTACTGGTAGTAGAACCAGTTTTTTGGGTTTTTTTTTAAATAACAATAAAAGAAGACAAAGACATTTCTGAGAGATTGGGCACGATCGGGAGACTTTGAGCAGGTCTGCGTTCTCCCCCACGTTCACGCAGGGTAAACCTGTAGAAGCCGCCTTCCAAGCTACACATTCCCTCTCTAAAGCAAGTGCAGAGCATCAAAGGCGAATAATTACCTTCTCTGGCCAGATTCCCAGGTGGAAGTAGAGCCTGGCTTGGAGCAGGAGGAGCTGCACCTGGTCCGGGTACATTGCCAGATACAGGTCCAGCGAGTCTCGCAGCAGCTGGTACGACTGGTCGATGCCTTCCCTGTGGGGAGAAGCCTTCGTCTTATCCCCCGCACTTCTGAGTAAGACCCTCGTGTGCAAGTCCCAGGTTTTAGGAGTAACTAACGCAAATCCCATGCACTTTCTGACTCTGGTACTTCCTCTCTGCTCAGCAAATAGTTACAATAGTCTTAATTAAACACATACACACATGCAGGAAATACGCATTTTGTACCCCACTTTGGTGATGGGCACTAAACTAAAATCATACATGTTTTCATCACACAGTCACATCGGTAACACTGTATATAAATAAAAATAAATTCTGAACAGGTGGAGCAGGGGACTTTTAGGGCAGAAACTGATTTGGGGGATACTATAATGGTAGATTCCTGTCATTAAATACTTTTTAATTAAAACCCGCAGAATGTGTAACCCTGGGGGAACCCGACCATATCACTGTAGTTCTGGACGTTGGGGACGGTGACGGATCAGTGCAGACTCATCGATCGTAACTCTGTACCCTTTTGGTGCAGGATGTCCATCTGTGGGAGGCTGCGTGTGCCTGGAGGCAGGAGGCCTATGGGAAATCTCTGTACTTTCTGCTCAGTTTTGCTGTGAACCTAAAACTGCTCTAAAAATAAAGTCTATTACAGAAAGAATTCTGCCACTAGGCAGAAAACCATGGCTACAATGCACAACTTCGTATTTCCTCTGTAGGGTGGATTTCCTTGGACTCAGAGGCAAGAGAGTGTCACACTTTTGTTTGTTTTCTTACTTAAGTGGCAGAAAGGTATAAATTAGAAGATGACCAAGCAGTCGGACTTGAGAACAGCCTGCCCCTGAAAGAGAACCTTTGCCCGTCTAAGGTATTCTTGTTCCTGAACGACACTCTCGTTATAGAGAACTGTCCAAGTCTTCTGCAGAATCTCAAAGAAAACTCACTTAGCACGTCCTACTCTGGAGAGCAGTGTGTCATGGGAGGCAGTTTTTTCCATGGTGGGTGACAGCTGTAGATACGCCGACGGGACCACACCTCACCCACTGCTGCGCTGCACCCCAGGGAGGCTCATTATGGAAAGTCTCTGGGAGGCAACTCGGGCCTTCTGGGACATGCACTCCACACAAGGGCTGGAAAGCCGAGAAAACCTTACCGCTTTCCCAGGCTCAGAAGGTTCCCCACCATTCGCTGCAGCACCTTCTTCACGGTGACCACCCCATACAGCGCTGCAGTCACGTGCTGGCCGATCAGGTATTCACATTCTTTCACCGTCAGTTGCCTGCCTTTCCCAAAAGCGTCGATGTAGATGTAGTCAAAGATGTCCAGGTTGGCCCTATCCAAGGAACACATGGAGCCAGCTCAATCTCTGATCAGAGCTGAGCAAGTCAATATTTAACCCCCCATAATAAGTGGCTCAGATTAGAGACTGAATGTTAACACAGTAGCATTTCTATTTAAAAAACACAAGGTCTTGCCCCAAGTTAACAATCTGGCCCTTTAAACACTGATATTTAAGAGGAAGGGTACTGATGCACGCCATCTGATAGAGTTTTTCAGGGAAATTCGTCCTAACACTCATTGCCGGGAATACCCGGCAGGAGTTCGATGGGTGCCACACACAGGTCAGCAGCAGCTGACGCCTGTGGGTCCTGGGCCCCTCGAGGATATGCCGAAGGTCATGGCACCTTGCACCAGGAGGCTTCTGCCCTCACTTCTGCAGACAGGCAGGGGGTCACACACCTGCCAAGCCCTCCCATGTTCCAGACCACGGAGGGCTGTGTCCCTGGACGCAGCCCCACTGCCCGTCCCGTGGGGACGCCCTCCCCAAAGCGCACTTTTGTACGCGGCGGTGGCCCGCGCTGAGCGGTCGGGGGTGGCGGGCACCGCCAGGCGTGCTCTGAGAGGACTCCAAGACTTCTAGGGGGGCCTTTGTCTCAGGGAGAGTTGTATTTTTTTCCTGGAGCAACTGTCTCAGATTTCCCCCTTGAGTCATCCGAGGAGCACTCCTGGCAAGGCATTTGTTAATGCCCCAGAAACAAGGAACACTCTTCAACTTGCGTTATGAGTCTAGGGGAACCTTGCACACCAATTCATAGGCAAAAATATGAGCAAATCCAGTACGGAATGTATTTAAAAGAATCTATATGATTAAGTTAGATGCACCCTAAGAATGAAAAGAGAGCTGAACTTGAAAAAATCTACTTCAAGCACATACAGACTGTAAAAGAAAAACCCTATGATCCTATCAAAAAGAAAAAAGATTTTAGGAAAAAGATATACTGCTTAGTTATTAATAAAAGTCTCCACAAAACAGGAATTTAGAGGACAGCTTTGATAACCCAAATGAAAGTTACTGTCCCTGAGTATCATGCTCAAGGTGGGATTTTAAAAGGGTTCCATTCAGTCATACTCAAGGCAAGTGGCCTGCTCTCACTGGCTGCTGCTGGCATCTGGGCTTGGGGGGGCCGGGCCAGCGGGATAAGCAAAAGCAGCAAAAACATATCAAGGTGAGGAAGAAAAGAACAAGCAAACCCGTCATAATTTATAGACAATACGACTGTCTGCAGAGAAAAGCCAAGAGTTGACAAATTATCAGCCCTTATCATTTATTCGGCAAAGGCGTGGAATACCAGACCTGTATCTAAGTATCGACCATATCCTTGCACAATGTCAGTATTTAGAAAATGTCATTTTAAACACCATTTACAATAGCAACAAAACTTTAAGGTACTAGGGATGAATCTACCAAGATGTCAGAGGGCTCAATGGAGAAATGAGAAAATCTCTGGAAGGACCTGAAAGATGACTTCGGTGTGGGGAGACACGCTCACAGACAGAGGCCGGAGCCAGGCACTAGCAGTGCCCCTCACGCCAACGGACGCACCCGGCCCGGGGAGCCCTGGCACCACTGACATCCATGTGGGGCTGAAAAAGCCCAGTGAACTGATTCTAAATCCACATTAGAGCCAAAGGCACGAAGAACAGCCAAGGCGCCTGGAAGAACCTGGCGGGGCCTCGCCCACCGGGCGTGGGGACTGAGGGCAGAGGTACCGGGAACAAACAGCCCGTCCCGGTGCAGGCACAGGCAGGCAGGGCGGGCGCAGGGACAGTGCCAGCAGCCCCGCGCTGGCGAGACACCTGCGCCCGCCCTGCCTCCTCCCTGCCTTTCCCGGAGGGCCCAGCCCCGGCGTTGGTGGGTCTCGGTGCTTGTTTTTGCCAGGGACCTGCAATGCTAACAAATTATTTCATTGCTCATTTGCATTGTTCATTGCAACCTAAGAAGGAAAAATAATACTGCTACCACAACGGTACCCAGTATAAGTTACTATGGTAAATAATACAGTCATTGGTGTTTTAAATGCTCTGTAGCAAGCAGAAATCCTCGGTGGGTTACTATGTAGGGATTTGGGAATATTTTAGAGATATCTGGAGAAATGGATTGGGTTGTTCAGGGGGCGGAAACGGGATGGAAAATAAAATCATTTTTCCCACTTAAAATAATGGAAAATGGGTGCCTGCTATCCAAAAGGGAAAAAGTACATTTTCCTCTGAGTACATTTCTAGGGAACAGACTACATGTGGAGAAAAGGGAAGCCCGTATATATTATTTAAGGAAAAATACACAGTAAAAATTTGCATGAAGACAAATAATTTCAAATTAACTGGTGGTTACCTCTGGTGAGGAGAAGGGACAAAAGGGTAAGAATACTCGGGAAGCTCCAGCTGCATATGTGTTTTATTTCTTAAACTACCAAGTAGAAATACAGAGACCAGCCATCCTTATTTTCTATGTATGCATCCGAAACTGGTCTGCTAGGTGGGTAATGCCCTGGGTCCCCCCCACTGAACCCTCCAAGCCGTTTTATGAAAAGCTTCAGTCCCGTTTGACAGGGGAAGACACCGAAGCTCAGAGGCAGCCGAGGTCTGCATGCAGCCCGACCTCGAACCTCAGGTGCTTCCTTTCCCACTGCGCAGTGCACTGCCAAAGGCTGTTACAGCGGGCCATTGGGACGTAGTGTCCAAGAACAGGATATAATTAAATAACTCTGCTTCTTTTCCCTCTAACTGGCACATTTAATGAGGAGACAGTCTACCTACCTGATGAGCTATTTCTTGCAGGAAAGTGAGACTACAGCTGAAAAGAAGCGCTGTGCCCAGCAGAACACCGGGTTTAAAAGAGGACAAAGCCCTGTTAGCCTGGCCCACACAATGCCTTCCAGGCACCAACCTTGCCCAAGGGGACCGAGGGGAGAACGCGGGCTGTCCGCCGCGCTTTGCAAGTCAGGGGAGAGCCTGGCTAATCTGTTCTCTCCGCGCCTCTCCTGCGTGGGGAGGGAGCGGAGACTTTATGGCAGGCGGCAAAGTGGGAGTTTCTTTAAAACTCTTTGATCTGATCTGCTTTGGAACAAAAAGACTTTGAGGTTCAGAGAGGCCCTGGAACCCCCAGTCCTATCATTTAAAATTAAACTTCATGCTTTGAGATAACTGCGTGTTCACATGCGGCTGTCAGGAAAAACACCCAAAGAGTGTCCTTCTTGCGCACCAGGTTAGTGACGTGGATACAGCCAAGAAGTGAAACAAGTCCACCACCTCCGCAGGCCTCTTTGACCTCTGTTTGGTTACATCTCCTGTCAGCACAGTAGAAACAGATCCTTAGGACCCACTGCAACGTGTTGCAGGTGGCTCACCTTTCTGTGGTTTGGCACCATCTTAGTAAGAAGTGACTTGGGAAGTTGACAGGTTCCAGTGGGACCCCCAACTGCCGGGCAATTGTCATGTACAGCAGAGACATGCTGATTGGGATCCCTGTTCTGCGGATCAAAACCTAGAGGAGAAAAAAAATACTTTCGCTTACTGGAAATGAACCACATGTTCTCATTGCTTCAGCGCACATCTGTATTAGGCATCTACTGTGTATCAGGCATGAGGCTACGTTTTGAGGTTGAAGCAGAGGAATATTTTTACTTATTTTTTAAATGATTACTTTAACTTCTTTTTAATATTTTCATTCAAAGATATGTTCATTGATTTTTAGAGAGGGGAAAGGAGGCAGGAGACAGAGAGAGTGAGTGAGAGAGAAACATTGATCTGTTGCCTCCCATAAGCACCCAGACTGGGGAATGAATGTGCAACCAAGGCATGTGCCCCGATCAGGCATCGAACCAGCGACCTTCTGGTTTAGAGGACAATGCTCCAACCAACTGAACCACACTGCCCAGGGTGAATGTTTCACTTACTGAGACCAGAGGTCTGCAAACTACACTCCCTGGGCCAAGTCTAGCCCACCCCCCCTTTTTGAACGGCCTGTGTAAGAATAATTTTATCATGTTTTAACGTTTAAAAAGACAGAAAAATGCTATTTCATGACACATGAAAACTATATGGAATTCCAGCTTCCACATCTATACAGACAGTTCTGCTGGAACACAACAAGCCACTTGGCTTGGACTGTCAGTGCCTCCTCTCCAGCTACGATGGTAGAACCGAGCAGCGAGGGCCAAGCCACGGCCCCTGAGAGCCGGAAATGCCCGCTGCCTGGCCCTTCCCAGGCTGACCTAGGCCCTTCTCCTTCCAGAAGGAGTTGGAGGCCACGGCAGGGAAAGCACGTAAGACAGGAAGAAAGAAAATACAAGCAGCAGAGAGAGCGAAGAACAGATGAAGAAGGAGCCAAGTGGAGAGCAGATAACAAATGAACAGCAGCAGCAGAGCCGCCCCCCAGTGTCCTCCAGCCTCCCACAGGCCGGCACAGGAGGGCAGGCCGGGCTCGTGCTGTGGCGTGGTGCTCCTACGGCGCAGCCGACTGGCCCAAGTCACAGCGACAGGTTTTCAGATGGACGACACTTAGTGATGAGATGAAAAATTGATAGTCGTTTCCTTACAGTAGAGGCAAAATGAATTTTGTAAGCACTGAGTGATGAAAAAGATATACTGCTTGCTGTCAAAAATTGCACAATTTATCTGAGACGAGCTTAACTGTGATTGTTTTAATACACCCAAGTTTACCTGGTGCATATATAAGTTTAGGGCATTGTAGTAATCCATTCGGTTCCCCTTGAACTTCAGTTGGTCATAGAGGACATAGTTCATGGCATCCAGCACCTGGCCCTGGAGGTCGAGCTCCATGATCATGGAGGACTGCCCTGAAACACACAGACCCACTCTGAGGACACACGGAACGCTGGGACCAGGGTCCCCAACAGCCTCTGACATGCAGACACCAGCCAGGTCCTAGCAGTATTTGTTAGGTGTTACCAACCCTATGTGTGTACAGTCTTTTACATTATGCAGGTGCACATGCGGCTGTGTCATGGATGGCTGTTTTGTGACATAACGGGGACACACTGCAGAATTTCCCAACAAGCATCTGCACTAGGTGTCCTTGTGCACAGACAGCGGATCCAGAGCAATTCCCCACCTGCCTTGAAGGTCAAGCTGGGGTGGCGGCTGTTGAGGCCTCGGAGGGTCTTGCGCACCAGCTCCACGACGCTGCTGATCTGCGCCTGGATGTCTCTGAGGGTGATCTCGGCGAGCGGGTTGCAGTATTGGTCGATGAACACTGCGCCTGCGCACGAGTGAGCGAGGGCGAATGAGTGAACGCCTCTCTTTACCCTTTTCTTATTGGTCTGCCATCTGCCCCAGGTGCCTGGAGCCCCACTCTTTAAAACATCCCACCAAAGAAGTTCCGCGTCCCGGAGGTCAGGCCTGGCTGCTAAATAACACTCTGAGAAGGAGCAAGAAATGTCCGCAGAACAAAGGAGCTTACGTGTCACTGTGTCTTCTTAAATAAACCGAGCCTCTCTGAGGTCACGGACTCAGAACACTGCGCGACATGTGGCACATGGCACATTGCACATTCCATTACAAAGAGAAATGAACGCCATAAAGGAGGTCTTTCCAGCTGCTCCACTCTCCCTCTAATTCCCTAACAGTTTAAAACCCAACAACCAGAAAACTTAAGGTTGTGAGACAGTCCTTTACTTAAAAAAGAAAGAAAAAAGCTAAAAGCTCTGAACAGGTCTGCCGTTTCAACAAACCGGCCTCTCCCAGGTGAGCCTGTGCACAGACTCCAGAGACAGCAGCACTTCCAAACGAGGTGCAGGCGCACTCAGGGGCCCTGCGGCTGGAAGGCTGTACACCGAGCACCAGAGATGCTGTCTCTTGCAAGCCCCCTCCTCAGGGCCTCAGGCAAGGTTTTAACCAGAGACCCATGGGCTTCCGTGATCATAGGGCTGTAGAACATTTTGTGGAAGCCCGAGAGTTGCTTTAAATTCAAACGGCCTCAAGCCAGCTCAGAATCTTACGCCCCCCCACCCCCATCTCAGGAGCTTAAAACATGGGCGTCAGGAGAGCTGGACCCCGCTCGTTTTGCCGCTAGCCACTTCGAAGCTCCTGGGCCTCCCTGGGACTGAGCTTCTCTACCTGCCCATGGAAGGAGGCTCACTCCATCCCAATGCCAGGTCGTCTGGGCTGCATCGAGGGCATCGGCCTATCAGCCAGTCAGCAGGGGTCCCCCGCCCTCTGGAGCCTGCTTCCGTTCACCAGGCTACTTAAAAACTCCAGTGGCTGCCCAATGCCTACAGCACTGACTTAGATGGCTTATATGAGAACGATAACATTACTTTATAATTGAAAGAGAAAAAGAAGTAATCCGTTTCATAAATAAGCTATGGAAAAATAAAGCTTGTCAACTTATTCTTGACTGGGGAATAAACAAGACAGGATGGCTCCATACCAGTATGCCCATGAGAAGATGCCAGTGACGAGGGTATTTTAAGGAGCTGCAACAGATTTTTCATTTTGTTTTGGATGATGCGAGACATTCATACAGTTAAGAGTCTGCACTAGGCACTGTGGAGTAGACAGCGATCATAACATAAGGGCAAGGAACACAAGAAAATCAGTGGCCACTTGGAGAAACGACTTGCACACGAGACAGAAATAATGCAACAGAATTGGGCAGCCAACGCTCCTGTGGTAGTTCTGACGCAAGCATCTGTGTGGCTGAGCCAGAGAAACTCAATGGAAGTGAGGCCTGAACTGAATGCCCGGAGGGTGAGTGGGATTTGAGGGAGAACGCGAAGGACAAGGGACACCACGAATGAGGATGTGAGTGAGGTGCACCTGGAGGGTGGCAGTGAGGACCGCGGCCTGGCTGGGGCCAATGGGACGTTCTGGGGAGCTTGGCACAGGGCAAAGGACTGTGGACACGGGGCACTGAGAGCAGGTAGGGACAGAATACAGAACAGGGACCGGGCTGGCCGTGCTGCGGGCTCGCAGGGCGTGGGGGACGGCGGGGCTCCGACTGTGCCGCACTGCACGGCGACGACCTGGGGGCAGAGGGGTGTCGCTCAGGAAAACGGCGCTGCTTAGAAGGCTGTTGCTGCTGCAGGGAGACGGGGTGAGCGCCTGTGCGAGAGCAGTGAGAGAAGAGAGACAGGACTGTGGGAACCACCAGAGGGAACGACGAATTGGATGAAGCTCTGGGAAGAGGGAACATGTGTATTTCATAACCACAGCTTCCGGGAGTGTGTGTGTGATATGCTAGGAATTTAAAATCGTTTGGGGGAAAAAAAAAGTCACATTTTGTCCTTGTTCAGCTCGGCAGGAGCAGACAGTGGCTGCCTTCCTCGGGGCTGTCCGCGCGCCTTCTTTCTCCTCACTCCTCGTCAGGCCGGCAGACCCACTGACGCACAAGAACACTGTGTCCTCATTAAACTCCACCCAGAGGCCAAGGGGTTGGCTCCAGGTCACACGGAGACAAAAGTGGGCAAACTGATTTCTCATTGGGAAGTGATGCTTCAAAGCTTAGGAAAACAGGAAATTAATCTCATTAGCTAAAACATCAGCCCCTTGTGCTTTGAACCAATGGTGCATCTTGAGAAAAGCGTCTTTAGCTGATAGCTAAAGGTTTTGACAGCATTTTAGCTCTAAGTTGAAGAGTTTTGCCCACCTAAGTGACCAGACCGCACACTCCAACCTCCGGGAGCCCACGGAGCACAGCTGACCTTTCCACTGCTTGTTCATCAAGGACAGTTTCCACGGCTGCTCTAAGGTGGCAGCTTAGCTGCCCATTGAAAGAGCATCGTTCAAGCCTCACCTTCAAGATACGATTCGTAGTCATCCGAGTGCTGAAGAAAAGCCTTAAGATTATTTAAAATTTTCTGCTGTCGTAGGTAATAAAGGATTTTTTTTGCATAGTACTTCCAGGTCAGTGCTTTCCTGGAACAAAAAAACAATCAGTAAGTTGAGAAGAATTAAGATACTGAAACTTCCAGTGATTCACTCTTTACTTCACACTCATCGTTGCATGTAAAGAGTCTGCTGTCCACGACAGCTATAACTGCTTCACGGCCATAGAGTGATTACCATGGAAGCAAACAATACAGTTTAGGACTTTGCATTTGTAATATAACACTACATGGGTCGTGCTGAAATTCAAGAAACAGTTATCTGTCTGGCTTCAGATTTATTAAAAGGAAATGAGAGAAACCTGGACAGTTAGGAGAACTGGGTGGGCCTCAGGAGAGAGCGGCGAGGTGTCTGGAACCCTCTGCTGCCGCCCACCCCTGCCCCCGGCTGCTGCTTTCCTCCTACGCTCCAGGCCATGGCGATCACGCCCGGGCTCCTGGTCTCAAATATTACCACACGGACAACCCCCAGTCCATTTCCCAGGTGGGATTCTCCCCTACACCCCAGACCTGTATATCCAACTGCTATTCCCCTTCCCCTGCTTGGGGATCTGGTAGGGCCCTCCACGGTCTTCCTCGCCCAGTCTTCCTCGTCTCCCACAAAGGCAACTCTACCCGTCCAGGTGGCCCCAAACCTCGGAGTCGCCCTTGACTCCAGGCCACGTCTCATGAGCCGCACTCAATGCCCCCACCAGTGCTACTAGTCGGACCAGGAACGGGAACGCTGCTCCCTGACTTGTCCAAGCCACCCCCACCTCCTGTGTGTATCACAGTGGCATCCCCTCCCCGAGCAAACCTTGGCCCCCGGCTTGTGCCCGATACCGATACCGCGGCCAGAGCGCTGCAGTGACCAACCTGCCAGGCCACAGCATGAATGCTCTGTGCCCCAAGGTCCCCAACCTTGGTCAAAGTGAAGCCCAAGCTCCACGATGACACACAGCGGCCTTTAAACTCTCGCCCCATCGCCTCTCTGCCTCAGCTCCTGCCGTCGCCCCTCAGTGCCGGCTGTGCACCGGGCCTGGCGGGTGCGCAACCAAGGCCTCGCCCTCCCGGCTGCTTGACTGGAACGTTCTTTCCCTAGAGAACAGTTTCCCTTTGTTTACTATTTGGTCCCCCAATGGCATAACATATTATAAAGGCAGGATAAATACTCATTTCTTTCATTTTCCATTTTTCAAAATAAAAGTTTGGGTTCTTCTTGTCCTCCCAAGGGGACTGATTAGTTGTTAAGTATTACTACAAACTCACAGGGCTCAACTAGTTGATGCATTTCAATCCACTCGTTACTGTCCACACTGACGATCCCCTGAATTCTTCTGACGTGAAGTATCATACTTCCCTTGCTATCTGGCTTCATGCTTCCAAAACACTCCCAGCTCATCTTTGACATTTTCCTGTATTAGATCTAGAATCAGCCACTTCTCCAAAACCTCCGGGCACTAGAGGTGATCACTTCTAGTTTATAGTGCGTATATGTGCGCACATAACAACACACACACACCCCTATGTATATTTAAACATAAGGTGTCTCGTGTTTCTACTGAAATTTCTAATTCAGTTATACAGTTTTTACCTTCTTTTATTCTACATCTGTATCTTTTCTTCTTCCAAAGAACCCTGCATCTCCAGTTACGTTAAGTCCCTTGCACAACAGGAGGGTTAAGGGCATGAGTAGCCCAAGGAGTGAAAAACTCCTGTACCCCTTAAGCTGGCCCTCCGTGTACAAGCTTCCAACTGCCAGCTGACTCTTGGAAAACACAGGTTTGAACTGTCCAGGTCAACGGAGCTGTGAAGGTCAACAGAAAAAAATCTGCATATAAGTGGACCTGCAGAGTCCAAACCTGAGTCGTTCAAGGGTCACATGTACTTATTTGTTTATTTCACATCTCTCTCATGCACATGCACACACTAGCTTCAGAACGACAAGATCGACAGTCACATCACTTTGATGAGTGTTGAGAAGTAGCTAAATATTCTGCTGATGTTCTCCCACATTCCCTGCTCATTTTTTTAAACAGCTGCATTATATCCACATTGTCAGGGCTCAGGGCCACTACATACAACACAGACTAACCTACTGTCATTTGGATTTAATTCTACAAGCAAATACATATTTTTTAAAGTAAATACATATTTAATGTTCACCCCTAGTTCTTATGTCAATGTCTCTCTGATGAGTTCGTTGGTTGAAGTTCCTTTTCTAGCACATTTCTCAGGAAGGGCTCACAAGTCCCCAAGTTCTTACAAGTTGCTAATTTTGTCTGCAGCCTTTATACCTGGAAGTCAGTTTGGCTGGATGTGAAAATCCCTGGCGACGTCACTGACCCTTGGGTGTGTTAAGTGTGTTACTCTTTTTTCCCTCTGGCATTGAGCATTGTTGTTGAAAAGTCTGATGATATTCTGATTTTCTTTTCCTTATAAGTGACTTCCTTTTTTTTTCCTTGGATGCCCAAAGGACTTTTCTATCTTTAATATCCAGTGATGCAATAGTTTTACTGAAATACGAATCAGTGTTGGTCATTCAGGTCAATTTTCTCAGGTACCGTGTACCCTTTCAGTATGTTGTTTAAATCTTTGTTGTAGGATGTACTCTTTTTAAAGACCACACAGAACACCTTAAATGAACATTGTTTTCAAGTACTCAAGGATTGGTGCTTTAGTTTTTAGAGAAACTACCTACCCTTCTTCCTTCCTGTTTTCCATATCCAAACACTGACAAGGATTTGTCAAGAATAAATACAAAAAGGGTCCTTCATGAAAAGTGGCACCTCGAAGTATTTATAAATGTGAGAGTGTGACAATGTCCCTTGTTATCTAAAAACAGCCCTGTTTTAAGTTCAAAATGTATATGCCAGAGCAAGAGGTAACAAACCTATGACCGTTCTACAAAGACTATAATAATGCATGTTTTTCCTGGCTGTGCACATTCAGCCATTTTTTGCAAATCTGATGAGGAAAAAGCAGTATTTCACTATTCTCTGACATTTCTTTGAAGAGTGAGTTTAAAGGTCTTTTTACATGATGCCAGCCGCTTGGATTTGCTCCTCAGTAAATGTCATCCTCCGAGCCATTTTCCAATTTCTTCCTGGAGATTTTAAGAATTCTATTGACTTTATGGTTTCTTTGGACATACAGAAGTTTATTTTTTAATTGCAAAACCATCTGTCCATATTCTTTTATTGCTTCTGCATTATCAGTCTTGGTTAAGGAGGTCTCTCTAGACAGTACCAAAAATCTCCTATTTTCTCAAAGGATTTTCATTGATAAAATTAGGTTGTTTAATCTTGGAATTTAGTTTTTATATATGATGTAAGTTTTATTTTCTCCCAGAATGATAATCAGTTGTCTAACAGCGTTCATTAATTAGTCCATCTTTTTCCCTTTGAGTTTAAAATATACTATCTATTATGCTGGGACATGTTTCTAAATTATCCTTTGCCATGGGCGTGGCTATCAAGTTTTATTTACTGTTAGCTTTATAATATGTTCTAATATCTAGTGTATTAGATATTACTGTATTAATATCTACACTGTATTGTGTACATTACACAACTGTATTGTTTTAATTATAGTTAGCTTTATATATGTTCTAATATCTAGTGATCAAAGTTTCCCACTGTGATATTTAAAAATTATTTTTTCCCTGGCTCTTCTTGTGACTTTATTCTTCTGTGACAGCAATATCCAATTAAAAGACACACACACAGAAACTCTCCCCTCCCAAAATTCTTGTAGGATCCTAACTGGAATGGCAATAGGTTTGTGTTCATTTGGGAAGAACTACCATTTTTTGTGATGCCAAGTCTTCTCAAACAAGAGCATGGTCGTACTTTACATTTTTCACTAACATTCTATAGTCTGACCTAGAATACCCATTCCCAGAATCTTCTACCAACTAGCAAAGCCACTGAAACATCACCCTCCATAGTAACACAAAAGTGGTTACCCATTGGTAGGGGTATGGTTAAATAAATTGTGGTAAACACTGCAGAACAGTATGCAGCTGTTAAAAAAATGAATTAGATTTTTCACCAGTTGATTAGGATTGATTTCAATAAGGTAATGATGAATGAGAAAAAAGATATAGGCAAGTTACCTATTTTATAATCGTAATTTTGTAAAATAATGATCCCTCTCAGTCCCCGTGTACATCAATCAGTGCATACTACTAGCATGGAAGAATACAACACACAGGCCCATGAATTAGAACGGTGGGGGGCAGGGGAAGGCCAACACCAATGGGAGGGAGGAAGGGAAAAATCAGACAAACAACAAAGTCTGCGCTAAAGATCATATGAAAACTAGACAATAAATTCAGTATGTATGATAGTACATTTATGTAGCTAAAAGTATACGTGTGTATGTATGTAAAAAAGACAGCTCAGCTTTTATTTTTAAGGCTGCACAACACTGGCCATTAGATCATACTTCAATTCATTTATAGATAAACCAAAATAGACATGGAAAAATGACCCCTGGTTCTGAACGCGTCCGAGGCCTGGGACAGTGACACAGCTTACCTCTCCCCCACACCTGCTCCCCTGACAAACATTTCTCTCTCCCAACCCCCCTTAAAAACAACAAGAAAAAGATCTGAATGCCCTGTTTGTCAGGTATTGCACAAGGATCTCTCTTACAGAAGATGCTAAACTAGAATTCTTATCTTCCATCACCAGCAGAGTTTCCAGAACTTTTAGAGCACAAAATCTTCTTCATAGGTAAGTTAGGCTGGAAGCCAAGTCCCCTTTCGGACACACTGGTAATTAAACCTCAGAGCAGAAAATGTGATTCACAGCAACTTTTAAGCAACAACCAACAGATAATGGATTCTTCTTGATCAGGAGCGACAGATAAAAGAAAAGTTCGACCAAATATCTATACTGCTCTTGGCCAGAGTAAGAGTGTCTCTAACCTGAATTCAAAAATTCTAAAAAATCATCCATTAAGACATGTTTAAGAAATTATTTAATAAGTATTCAACGCATGACAGGCAAATGTGGTGGTGGTAAAAATAAAGGTGATAACAAAGGAAGGATAATTTATATTACCTAAATGACATTGTAGATACAAGTGCCCAGAGCACAGTATTTGACCCACAGTAGGACTAAATATGTACTAATTCTCTTCCTTCCAAAAGGATTTTTGCATGGTTTCGTTAAATATCAATTGTCTTAGTATACTTACCTTATACACACAGAATTTTTCAAAAATGTAACTGTAGCAACACATGAGGTAGCTGGAAACACATGTCCCAAGACTGAGCCACAAAGTACAGCAACTAATTCTGAGGTTATTATGAAAACAAACAAACAAAAACCTCTGCTGTAACTCTGGCTTACCTTCCTTCCATATTTAGGATACACACCAGTTCGTCCTCAAAAAATATCTCTGGCCCCTCAAGATTCTCGATGTCACTAAAACCATTACAAGGGACCTATGAAGAAGACATACAAACAGGTCTCGATAACAAGTAATAATGTTATCACTCTCATACACAAATCTGAGTTGCAAAGACAGATTGTTATTGTCATGGAAGTGGTAACAGCTATCCCATAGTATCTTACATCGCCTACCAGGGGTGGAAAAAAACATGCAAAGTAACGATAATTTGTTCAGATCTTGTTAGTTGTAAATTAATTATATTTTCATAGACTGAAATTTCTGAAACTAGTAACTCAAGAAGTCTAATGCAAAGAAAAGTGGCTCTGCAACAAGAACTAGAAATACAAAATTGAATTCACAATAACTATTTCATGCAATCTATATTGCACTCCACTAGGAGGGAAGGCACAGAGGGAGAAGTCTCGTGACTTGGGCTACTCAACCCTCTGGGCATGTTTTCTCCTCTGTAAATTGAGGTGATGGTACCTATGAGCTTTGAGAGCCCTTCAGTTTAAAATTCTGTTACTTCTCCCACATTTCTTTTTTTTTAGATTTTATTTACTTTTTAGAGAATGGAATGGAGGAAGAAAGAGAGGGAGGGAAACATCAATGTCTGGTTGCCTCTCGCGTGCTTCCTACTGGGGATCTGGCCCGCAACCCTGGCACGTGTCCTAACTGGGAATCAAACTGGCGACCCTTTGGTTCGCAGGCCAGCGCTCAATCCACTGAGCCACACCAGCCAGGGTTGCCACTTTTCTTTTTTCTTTTCTTTCTTTCTCTTTGTTTTAAATGGGCAGCAGACCTTGTGATTCCGAAGCCTGATTCTTTCTGGTTTTTTTTTTAAGACTGTATTTATTTATTTTTAGAGAGGGGGAAGGGAGGGAGAAAAAGAGGGAGAGAAACATCAATGTGTGGTTGCCTGTCGCACACCCCCTGCTGGGGACCTGGCCCACAACCCAGGCACGTGCCCTGACTGGGAACTGAACCCCCAACTTTTGGTTCACAGGCTGGCACTCAATCCACTGAGCCACACCAGCCAGGGCTCCCACTTTTCTCTTTGAAGGGAGCCAGGAAATTTCATGACAACCTGTATGTCACTCAAAAAGCACAGGAATATAAGGGTCCTGAGTCAAAGTAATCGCGAACCCACAGATAAATCTTAAGTATACTCCTGCTATATTGACAGTCCTCAGCATATTTCTAATAAGTAGTGCAGGGAACGAGGGAGCTAAGGAAAAAACACAACAATTCATCATTATTAGACAAAGGCGCAGGCTGTTAAAAATGCATACAAATGAGCTGGTATAGAGGCAGAGGTTGCAAACTAGTAGCCCACGACCAAGTGCATCAAATACATCTAGCACCCAAATATATCTGTGTGCAAACACATTTAAACGGGCATCTAAAGTCTGTGATTACGAACACTTTTAGTCAGGGCACGGCTTGTCCAAAATGGAACATAAATTTTGTCCATTCTTACACCCACAATGATTTATTTATAGAAACGAATTACACTAGGGAATATCTAGTTTTATTCTCCATAGGAGAATCTCAAGTTCAAATGTATCCAAAGTTCAAAATTTGAACTTTCCCTTTCCAAACTTCAAGTGCCTTAAACATTTAAAATGTATGAACTCCATTAAGTAATAGTGATTAGAGTTAAAAAATAGGAATGAATCTGCAGGAAACCATGATAGTAACATAAACCAGAATGGCTGTATTTCTAGCCAATCCCCTCCCCACCTTAAGAAATAAATTTAAAATATTAGTGTGGATTATTTTCCAGAGTTACAAAAAGTTAGGAATCAGGACCTGACACAGGAACTTCTAAGAATGCTTTGTGGAAAGAAAAACCATGTATTTCAGCAATATTTAAAAAAGAACTTTTCAGAGATAATGAATGCAAGACAATTCACTCAAGGGAGTAGTAATTCTGATTTACAGGTGGCCCTTAATCATGTTAACTTAACAAATAACTCAGTTCACTACTGGCTGGAACCTGCAAAGCCAGAGTGAAGAACAGTATTCATGTCATCAACCCTTTTGGGAAAACAACAGGGCGAAACCTGGAGTGTTCAATCTTTGACTGCCCCAAGTCACGTGGAGATCGCAAAAAAATATGGCCAACCCACTTGAAGAGAAATAACGCTGATCGGATCCCCTCTCCCTTGTGTGGCTGGTCCCTCCCTCCCAGGCCACCCTCATTCTCTCCCCGGCTTTAGAAAAGTAAAGCTGGCAGGGACCAATGCCCTCATGTTGCTGGATTGGAGGAAAAGGACACAATGACTCTTGCAGCCATCGAAATGAGTAAGGGATTGTGAGAGCACTGAAAAGGGAGCTATCAAAAAAAGCTGGATGAGCTAATGCCTGCAGACAGCCAGACAGACAGACAGACAGACAGACACAGACACAGACACAGACACAGACACACACACACACACACACACACACACACCCACATCACCCCACCCCCCCATCCCTCACCTCCCACCCCCCACCCCCACCCCCTCCCACCCCACCCCCACCCCCCTCCCACCCCACCCCCCACCCCCTCCCACCCTCACCCCCCCACCCCCACCTTCCACCCCCACCCCCACCCCCACCCCCAGGCAAACACGTAGAGCTACACGGGCCAGATCCTTACGTGCTCTGAAAAGAACCTCTTTGAGAAAGAGGCTACAATCTTCCGGGCTTCTACCCCAGCTTTTTGCCGAACTTTATACTCCTCCAGCCAGTTGACGTAGTCAGTGGGGCTGTAGTGGTTCATAAGAGAAGGCCATCTACAAGGAAAAAAACACCCCCTCGGCTTAACAGAGACTCAAAGGCAGGCAGGCAGGCAGAGACGAATCAAAGGCAGCCTTAGAAAACAAGGAAAGAAGTATGGTTTGGTGGGCAGAGGGGCACTGCTGATGGACCTAGTTCAAGTCCCCACCAGGCACACACGCACTTGCTCACGGTGTGACCTTGGCACAGCAATGTAAACGCTGTGTCTCCACTCCCCACCTATGAAATGGGCACAGTTGTAGCAGTAATTACGATAGTGATGACAACAACAGTGAACATTTCTGGGGCGCCTCCTAAGAATTGGTAAACGCTCCCGACACATCATCTCGTTCAATAACCACAGTCAAAGGTAGGTCTCGCTATCATCAAAGTCGATGAATGAAGCTCAGAAACGAGAAGTCTACCCCAAGGTCATACGGCAAGGATGCCAGGGCCAGATTTTATCCCAGGTCCCAAACTGAAATCTGTGCTATCAGCCAACAGCCAGCGGATGCTGCGCCCGCTTTCCCTAAGGGCTGTTAGGATCACTGCATCCCCAGATCCATGTAAACATTTTAGCAGAGTCGGGCACAAAAGGAGCGCTCGGAATAGACTAGCTGTTACACTACCGTCGTCATCTGTTAGTGAGGGCCCAGCTGCTGGGCGCTTTCCGATGCGCAATTTGGGCACCGGAAAGTCCGCGCAGCGTGGACCCTAGGGGCCAGCGGCCTGAAGGCCTTTGTCTGTCGGTCCACGGGACGGGGTCCGGGGGTGGCATCAGGGGTGGGGTCGGCGCGCGCGTCCGGGGAGGCAGGCCGAGGCTCAGGCCAGCCAGGCCCGGGCCAGGGGTGCGCAAATCGGGGCATCAGCGGCCGGGGCAGCGGACTCACCTCACCCGGAACTGCTCTTTCCACACCTTCCCGCTACTCTGGCACAGCTCGCGCAGCCTCCGGCAGGTGCTGGAGACATGGGTGATGTCCGTGGCCGTCAGCGAGCCGCTGCACAGGATGTACTCCAGCAATTCGCCGGGCAGGCGGACGAGGCAGCTGAGGCCCGCCGTGTCGGTCACGGCCTCGTCCGCCAGCGCTTGCACCACCTCCATCGGGCTGTCCACTGCTGCCTCCGCCATCTTGTCCGAATACCTGCGGCCGCTGCGCGCGCGCGCTCTGGGGAAACCCCTTCTCGCCCCGCCCACCTGACTCATGGGGTGGGCACAAGGATCGCCCCGCCCACGCCCGCAGGCACACACACCCCTGTGCCCGGGCTACTGGGAGAGCGCCGCTCCGCGGAGGAAAAGGGAAAGAACTGCGTTTTGGAAAAGAACTGCGCGGTGGGCCTCGGAGTCCTGAACCGACAAGAATAGCATCTCTCTTTCCCATGCGTGCTTAGCGCTTCCTGTGCATGAACTCACTGAACCTTCCCAATAACCCTATGAACTCATTCTCCCCCAGGTTATAGATGGGGAAACTGAGGATTCAGGGAGATAAACAGACTTGTCCAGAGTCCCTTGTCGTACCTAGATTTTAATCCAGACCTGCTTGACTTTTCCTTGACTCTGCTGTAAACCAAAACAAACCGAATATTCTTGCGTGGGTTCTGTGCCAAGCACTTCACTTATGGTCTTCAAGGATCCCTCATTTGAACCCTCTATGGTAGGTACCTTATTTACATCCACTGTACAGCTGAGGAAAACAAAGCTCATAAGGGTGGGTGTCACTGGTTCAAAGTCACGGAGACAAAAAGTGGTAAAACCTGGATTTGAATCTTTAAAGTGTGTGTGTGGGGGGGGTATTCCTTTTGCTGCCTACAACTTTTTAAAAAAACTCCAGTTAGTTTGGTTAGTTTAGTGCCAGGCCCAACATGGTGTGCCCTGGGGATAAAGAGGTGAGTAAGCCGGTGTCCTTGCCTCTCAGGAGCTCATAGAACATGCTGTTTATCAGTACACGGAGGGCTCAGTAAATTCCTCCCCTCCCTGGAAGTGGAAAATCAGAATGCCCTGAGACAGTTGAACTAGTAAAGTTACTCTCAGTGGATGGTGTTAGCCATCCATGGCTCTCTATTGCCCTTAGAAGTAAATCTGAAACCCCAAACATTGTTGCAAAGGGACAGACCCCTGTCAACCACCCCACACTTGTCCGAAGCCATTCTCTCGGTCAGCAACCACATACCCGCCAGACTGGTCTCTTCCCTCCTGCCTGTATCCTATTCCCACTCCTGGCAGGACGTTTATGCCAGCACCCTCTTCCTCCCAGCCTCCCTTCCCTCATCCCAGCCCCAGAATCAGGCAGAGTTCCTCCCCCACATTTTGCAGCCTTGTAATTATTCACTGAATTTATAATGGTTTAACCTGTGTCTTTCCCACTAGATCAGAAGCAACTTCAGAATCAGGACCAGCCAGGTGCCCAGTTACTTGGCATGGGCCCTGCCCACAGCAGATTCTCAATACTTGTCTATCATAATTGTCTAACCAGTTGTTCAGCTGGAATAAGTTACTCAGCTTTTCTGAGGCCCAATTTCTCACTTGTCAAATGGGGTTAATAATAATGCTGGCCTCCTGGGACCGTTGACAGGATTCCATGAGTGCCTTTATGTGAAACACAGTACACTGCCTGGCATAAAGTGCTTGATAAAAGTGTGTTGCGGGGGAACGGGAAGAAGTTGCTCAATGGGCACAGGTTTTATCCTGGAGAATGGCAGTGTGTTGGAACTAGACAGAGGTAGCAGTTGCACAACATTGCGGATGTGCTAAATGCCACTGAATCGTTCACTTTAAAAGGTTGAGTTTTATATTACGTGAATTTCACCTCCATCAGTTTGTTTAAAGATGTGTTGCTGCTTGCATTCGCTGGCCGGGGCTGCCATAAGCAAGTGCCACAGACTGAGGAGCTGAACAGAAAGTATTGTTTCATTGTGCTGGAGGCCAGAAGACTGAGATCAAGGGGTCACCCACCGGGGCTCGGGTTTTTTTCTGGGGCCTCACTCCTTGCCTTGTAGATGGCTGTCTTCCTGCTGTCTTCACATGGTATTTGTGTGTGTCTCTGTCCAAACTCCTGTTTTTATAAGGACACCAGACCTTTTGGATTAGGACCCACCCCCATGATCTCATTTGACTTTAATTGTCTTTTTAAAGACCCTGTCTCCAAATATAGTCACATAGGGTTAGGGCTTCGACATAGGAAATGGGGGCGAGTGCCGTGGCAGGAGCCGCGACTACAGTCCTTACAACAGAAAGGTTTGGAGGAGGCCCTGGAGGCTGGCAGATCCGGGACTGAGTCTGGGTGGACCTTCGTTGTTGTTTACCAGGTTGCTTCTTCTCCACACACTGACTCACCTTGACCCTTGTGGCCCCACCCTCTCCCTAGGGCTGCTCCTTCTCAGTCTCCTTTGTAGTCTCACCTAGCCTGTATGCGGTGGGGTGTCGGGGGCAGAGCGACAGGACCCCTCTTTCGCTTTCTCACCCCTGTCTACAGTTTGAATGACAATCCAAAGCCAGTTCAAATGTCCACGTCTCTTCAGTTCAGCCTGCCCCTCTGAGACCTGGACCTGCTTGGCCAACTGGTCACCTGGCACTCCCCTTGGGCCCCTGAGGTCGAACTTATCCGGGACGGAACTCACGCCCCCACCACCCCACTTACCTTGTCCCTCCCAGTGGTTTCTGCCTTAGGACCAGAGCTTGTCGCCATCCTTGGCCCCTCACCATCCAAATGCCCCCTACAGGTTAACATCTTGGCGCCTTGGCTTTCTCACCTATGAAAATGAGGATAACAATAGATCTTCCTATTACATGAAACAGCATCTATATTACCATTAACACATTGTTCTCAACCACCGTATACACTGTACTGACCTCTATCAGGTCCTGCAGGGCCTGGAGAGAGGGCTGGGGTTTTGTCTTTACGTGTGCTGGGAAGCATTACCCACGTCCTAATGCCCGACAGAGGTTAAGTTATCTGTGCATCAGTATTTGGAACAGAGAAGCAATTTTCTTTTCTAAAAGATTACTCCTAATGTTTCTCAGGTCTGCCTCCTTCTCTGTCTCCTCAGCCCCGGTCCCGGTCCACGTCTGCCCTGTGGCTCCTCACTGTTCCTCTGGCTTCTGCCCTGGCCCCGAGAATGTGGAAATCAGCTCCCATGACCCTCAGATCTTGACAGTTTCTATCCTGTCACGTGGGAGGCAGACCCCCCGGCTGCACAGATGATTAATTAGCTGTTCTTCCAAATGACCACTGCTTTCTTATCAATGATGTCCTCCTGGCCCTCCTTCTGTTTTTCTGCCTTTTGATCAAAGATGATTAAAATGTTGTCAGGAAAAAAATTAAAATTTCCTGCCAATCCCGAAACTCCGTGCCACAACTCTATGGAAGGGGAACAGTTTTATTATTGAACAAGCATTAAACCACACTGTGATGCACATCACAGGTAACCTGCTAACAAGATGACAAAGACAGAGAGAATTCTCATCCTTTTTCTATATTCAGCCACTCACTGCGTTAGATACATGCTGTCAAGACTAATGGTAACTTGCCCTCAGGGAAGAGGGCCTGACCACACCTTTGTTATATATTCTTTTCTAGTTCATCCTAAACTTACCTGGTCATTGGGGTACCCATTGTGCTACCTAATGCTTTTGTCTCAGGGGATAATACAACTTGTCAATTTTATGACAAGCAGGTGGCTGCAGTTGGAACCAGGGTGCTCAGGCTGACCTCCCGCTCTAGGGAGGTAGAGACACTACCTGCCCCGACATTTCATTTCAAGGGGACGGTTCCCAGACCTTTAAGAAAAACATTCCTGGGTCGTCATACTGGCAAGAGGCTTATTTTTTTCTTTTTCTTTTCTTTCTTTTTTTTTTTTAAGATTCGCAAACTATAGTATATTCATGCAACGGACTATTCCTCAGCCATGAGAAGGAATGAAGTCGTGACTCAGGCCGCTACGTGGATGAACCTTGAAAACATGATGCTGAGTGAAATAAGACAGACGTGAAAGGACAGAGATTGCATGAGGCCATGCATGCGGACTATCTAGATTGGGAAAATGCAAAGAAACAGAACATAATTACAGGTTATCAGAGGCTGGGGGAAGGAGAGAATGGAGGGTTATTGCCTAATAGGGACAGAGTTCCTGGTTAGGAGGATGAAAAGGTTCTGGAAAGAGATTATGGAGATGGTTGCACAACCCTGTCAACGTCCTCAATGCTGCTCAGCTGCATTCTTTGAAATGGCTAAGTGGTACATTTTCTATCATGTCGGTTTTACCATCATTTCAAATAATAGCGCACACAAAACAGATTTACACACCTATCAGACACAGGACAGACAGACACACACACACACACAGACACACACACACCATTTCTCCAGGAAATGCTCTAACAAAGAAAGAAAGGATGGTTTTCTTTTCCCTCTGGCCACAGGGGACATTCTGTCTCAACATTTATCCCGCAGGGCCCTCTTGCTGAACAGGCAACCGCACTCAGCAGAGAGCTGTTCCCCACTATGCTCAAACCCACTGAAATCATCCCACACAAGCCCGAACCCTGGAGGAGTCCCCTCTTGGCCGCCTGCGACCCGACTCCCCAGTGTCTCTGGGCGCCCTCCTCCCACGGCCGGAGGCTGAGGGACGTTCCTTGGTGGACTATCGGTGCATCTCCGCTTATCTTTGGCTGGAGGACATGAACATTCCTCTCCCATGAGATCTCCACAGCCTGGCCGGAGAGACCGCTTTGCTCCCTCCAACATCTCCAACGGCTTGCCTTCTTTTTCAAATAAATACCGTATATACTCCTTTCTCTCCCAGCCCATCAGCCCAGGTTCTCCCTCCCACCTGAGGAGCTTGTGGAGACACCTCTGTTCTGCTGGATGGCTGGCTTCCCAGCTCCTTCAGGTTCCAGTTCAAGCCCTTGTCTGCAGAAAAATGCCTGCCTGCTGACCACAGGCTCCTGCCCCTGCCCGCTCGGGACCCCCTTCCTTTTGTCCAGTGAGCATGCCCGACCTGCTGTCTTTCACATATTGGAGATCACTGCGTTCACCCACCAGCACAGGCAGGTCTAGGTTCTGTGGGTCCTATTTGGAGGCCCTGTTTCAGAAAAGAAATTCCCAGGGATGAGTTCCTAAGTCAACAGGAGGGCTTTTATGTAGGAGGAGAACAGAAGGCACCTTG